ACAGTGGACATTTAAATTTGTGGTTTGACAGGATAATGATATGTTAAAGCAGAATGACTAGACGAAGTGTAGTTGGCCTGGAATATGTCAACACTCATGCCAGCTTCTTCTTCTTAACGTGCCCTATCAAGTCCCCTTGACCTTGGCGATTAACATGGCGAAACTGTCTGTCATGGCGAAACAGAACACCCTCATTAGTAACGTGGTCGGTATACGATATCTTCAGGATACGACGATAAAGCCACATTTCAAAAGCCTCAATTTTCTTGCAGTAGGCATCTGTGAGAGTCCATGACTCAACTCCGTACAACAGTATAGGAAAGATGTAACATCGTAGTAACCTGATTTTTATGGGCATTGATAAATCATGACATTTGAATAACTTTGAGATGCAGATCTTACTTTCTCTATTCTACATTTGATTTCTATGGAATGGTCCCAATTTTCATTGACGTTCGTACCAAGGTAGGTGTATGTTTTTACTCTTATTAGTGCCTATGCTACTTCGTAATTTGCATTGGATACTTGTAAGGAACTGATTGTATCCGCAGCATCACCTTTCAAAGAAAGTTGCAGGTAATGCAATTTTTACACATTTGCCAGCGCATTATTTTCCTTAAGTATAATTAAAGTGAATGTATCCCGGAAGAATAACCAGTGTTCTAAATCTCTGTTATAAGTAGGTAAATTTAGTATAGGAAATTTTACAGAGTTTAGAGGATTGTTTCTTATGAGAGCTTTCCAAGCTAACAATACTGACTTAACCCACGTCAGAAGTGTTAGGTGCCTTTACGTTTAAAAACTCCTTTACTTCTGCAATTAGTGTATGAAATCTATTTACAAAGCTTTCGCGCTCATGATCATACATCATACTGTAATTTTGTTTACATTCAATGTCTAAATTTTCAATTGTTTGTTGAGCTTCTTCAAAAGCGTTAGGCAATTTATGAACTCTTAAACATCTGTCATTTAATTTCGTCAAATCTGGTCTATCCTATATTATAGTTTTCCGTTTATTCTTCTCTGCTTGTAAAGACGTGATGTACCTAATGTAATTTAATGTAAAATTGTTAGTAAATATTTCAAAAGCAGAAAAGTGTAAAATAAAAATCATGTATTATTAAATGTATTGATTCGAGATTAATGAATGTGTAAAATATATTTAAAGTAACCTTTAAAGAAATGCTTATAATACTTCGAAACTAATTTGTAATTAAGACTGCCAAAAATGAAAATGCAACCCTCTCATAAAGTAGTGTAATTTATTGCCTGTAAAATGAGAAGGAACTAAAAGTCTTCTAACCCAAAAATTGTATTGAAGTTAACGAGTTTTTATTTTACTAACTTTTAATTATTAAGTTTCAAGTGTCAGTACTCTGCTGTTAAATCAAGCTAAGGGTTGTGTAAGTGAAATGGACTGACTTTATAATTTATAGATGTCGCTCTTTCTCTGTAGATGCAAACGAAGTGGCTATATGTCACAAGTTTATATCCGGCTCGAAGGACCATTAATGATTATATGTGGTGTAGCATTAGATAGGCTAAAACAGATGTAGGGTTTATCTAATCACTAGAAATACTGTAATCACTATAAGCACAAAAATATTTTTGAATTTACACGTTTTTTATTGCCTATAAATTAACTGAAAATTAACAGCGGTTGAAAGAAAATATTGGATTTATGAAATTACACAGTATCTTACATGGCATGGAAGCCTGAAAGTTAACAATTATCTCGTTACGATGCCTGGAAAACTTTGAGATCTGGATATTTCGTTACATTCTAAAAATTCTATGAGCTGACTGTGTTAGAAGTAAAAAGTTTTAAGACATATGCATAGAGATCGTGAACTTGTAGATATTATTAAAAAACGGAAAACATCTTATCTTGGACATATATTCAGACACGAGACATATAACTTCCCTCAACTAATAATGGAATGAAAAATAGAAGGTAAGCGCGATTCTGATAGACGACAAATGGGATGGCCGCGTAACATCAAGGAATGGATAGTTCTGGACCTCCGAACCTTAATGACAAAACCTCAAAATATAGATGAATTTGCTGAAGTCACCATAAGATCGACAATTTTGAAGAAACAAACACTTATTTATAATATTCATTGATCCTGAGAAAGCATATGACAGATTTATCGAGAGCTTCTGTGGCCGGTGCTCAATAAGGAATGAGTTTCCGGTAAGTGTAAGTGTTGTGTAAAAATTCTAAGAGATATGTAAGATGGCATGACAACCAGCAATAGTAAGGTGTAGGAAAGACTGATAATCTGCTTGTTCTTCTTCGTATGGTGGCGAAACTTGGTTTTTAAAGATGTTGTCTACGTCACGATTAATAACTTGTCCGATTATTGCACATTTGCGATCATATTGACAATAATAACCTAGTTTACGGCAACTCGAAACAGATTAGCGGATGTCTCTTGAAACTACTCTCGGAGATTTCGGATGTTCTTTTTTGGCCTGGTCCACTTTTTTCAGCGATCTTTCCCTGTATTATGAGGCGTAGAAGGTTATACCTCTCTAGATGTCTCTATGTATGGCCGAAATATTGTAACTTTCGAATTTTTATTGTTTTTGTTATTTTTGTGCTCTTTTTCACTCCATGTAAAACTAACTCATTTGTTATTCGACCAACCCAACTAAACCGCAATATTCGTCGGTAAATTCACATCTCAAAGGCCCCCAATTTTTTCATTAGTGTTCCTGTAAAAGTCCAGCTGTCCATACCATACAGTAGTGTGAAGAATATGTAGCAGCGTATTGATGTGATTGTAAAGTTTAATATCTTTATTAATCAGAATTTTATTTAGTTTATAGAAAGCAGCTCTGGCATTTTAAATGTTCTAATTTTTCACTAATTCTTTATAGTTATTTATTAATTTCCTAACATCTGACCATATTTGTTTAATTGGCGTATTTTTATTTCGTGAAGTACACAAATTCCTCCAAGATTCTTTTCGCACTTTTTTAATAGTTTTTTTATAGATAAAGTAAAAAGGAATATTCTATTCCTATTCCCGTTATAAAGTAAAAATAATTTCAATCAAAAGAATAACAACGTAAATCCAATCCTGTTTGAACCTACGTAAAAGAATTTTTGCTCATGTAAATAAATGGAGCAATTTCAACTTGGCCACCTTTAGATTGGAGTTGCAGTATTTATTTTATTAGCAGCTATGAATCTACTTTCTCACTGTACATACACTTCTACTGTTTTAGGCACATTGTTAAAAACTTGTGTGAGTGTAGTATTACTGATAAATATTAAACGAGGGAACGTTCGAAATTACTGGGTAGTATGTCCTGCGTTGTTAATAAATAGGGGTGTTTATTTCCTTACGTGCAAACGGGATTCGAGAATTAAGATTTACGTTGTGGATTGATAAAATAGTGGATAAAACATTATTTAGGTCAAACTGTGACACCAATGCAAGGTATCCGCTGTTGTTATCATAAATCTACATTGCTCAAGTAAATATTGAATGTATTTAAACATATTGTTAAATATAATATAAGTGACAATGCTCTAATTACGGCCCTGACGTAAAAATAATTTTAGAAGTCGAATTAACCACTTTTCCAGCAAAGTTCTCGAGGCCGAAGTTCCCAAAATGAAGCAACTGTTTACATTCCAGCAATGTTATTGACTAATCCAGAGATGAAGCTTCCCATCGATCTTCCACATGGCAATTTACCAGACGGAGAGGTGGAACCAGAGACACTCCAGGCGTATGTCAGCGGCCTAAAGGATCCACTGGTTAAGGTCCACGATTTTGCCAGGAATAAGCTACACCTCGCTAGTAACCGAATGAAGGTTAGGTTTTATCAGAAATCCACTCCTGTTAGTTTCAAAGAATTTGATGCAGATTGGCTCTACTAACCAACCAAAGGAAAAGGTCTAAGTCCCAAGTTCCAGCGGCCCTAGGAAGTCCAAAATCACCAAACTCAGGAAAGAATCCAACGGTTTTTAAGATATCTAACATACTGTCGTAAAACATTTTAAATGTGTAGCAAAAAGCTTCAATTCCTACCATTTATAATTAATAAAAACTCATCACAAGTATTTAAAACTTTTTAGATATCCGGAAGTTCAGAAAAATAGTAATTATAAAATGCTTGTCCAGGAATTTCAAATAGGGAACACTCGCTTATGCATATTAGCGCTTGCAAATGCGAAATTTTTAAACAATGTTCTTGCGATAAGTTAAAAAAGGTGCCCAAAAATGAACGGGAGTTTTTACTAAATAAAAGGGGACCTGGAAAAAATGAATATTGGAAATATCGATGTAAAGGAAAACTGACCCGCCTAATGTAAAGCTGTCAAATAAGACCAGTAGAATGGAAAAAGTGATGCATAGAAAAGAACTACAACAATCCGTTTAACACGAAAGCAACATTAACTTCAAGAAAACGGAAGCTAGACACTGATGTAGAAATAGATCATAAATTGCCTTTCACTATTTGCCTATTTTAAACTTTCTACCTTGGCCAAAGTCTGTGGCCGCTATGAACTATTGGACAGATCTGCAACAGCTGTGGCAACAGCAGTGCTACACGACCTTGGAATTGTTACCAATACTAACACAAAAAACGTAATAGATAGAAGTAAATTGAGAAGAGCAAGAGGGCAGCCAAACTTTCCAGAAATTTTTAAGGCCGTATACTTTACGGAAGAATAGATAAAACCTTTGTTATACAAAATATTGAAAGCAATCCCCACATAAGACCCGTACTCGAAGAGTACATTACACTAGTTTAAGAGCCAGGTTCTATCTTTTAGGTTACACAGTATCTCCTTCTGGATCGGCTTTAAGCGTTTTTAAAAGTATATAATCCAGAAGACCTAGTGGCACTAGGTAGGCTGTTACGGAACTGTGGTAGATACGGGAAAAAAATTGTGCAATTTTTCATCTATAATTAAAATTAGGACGCCCTTTACAAAGATTTGTCTGCTAGCTTCACACCTATAAATTGTTTTTAAGGCATCTTTTCCAAAAGCTTGACAATAAAACTCTAGGTGCAAGAGATTTTGGAGAAACTATAGAAAATCAAATAGAGCAGTGCGAAAATATGAAAGTTGTAAGATCAGAAGTCGATCAGAAATATTTGTTTCAAATTTATGTCGCAGTTTCTATAGAGGAATATTCTGTGGATTTAATAAATCGAAGTCCTGGAAAGTTGAGTCATTCTCAATGGCTCATTTTGGCCAATCGCATTCTACTTCTTGATGTTAGTACTGAAAATTCATCCTTATAATGAAAAGAAATTCATGTGTAAATGGTGCAGATCATGTCTTGCAAACAATAAAATAAAGCCGGTACCTAAAACAAGATTTAAAAAGTGTTATAGACACTGATTATAGACCCTGTTATAGACACTAATTCAAAGAAATGCCTATTTTGATCATTCGGAAAATCCTCAGATATGTATGCTACATAACACTCGACCCCATATAAGTAAGCTTGCACTTTGTCTCATTCTAAATACAGAATCCGCATTATTCCGCGAAAGCCTATTATTCCGCAAATTAATTTTGATGTAGATGACTATATTGATCTGATTGATTGACAAAACAATAAAATAGCCTGCCCTCCATTGCCGCTAAGTTTGAAAGTAGAGGATCTGAAAAATATTATGTCCGATTCTCCTGAAAAAATCATCGACATCGCTACATTTCCCTGTCACACCCAATCAGTAGAGAGATTCGCGAAGCTCGTAACCGAAGCATCTTCATCGGTTGTTGGGCCACACAAGAGAGATAGATTTATTTAGGCAAAAATTGATTCACTCAAACATATGCCAAAATATTAGTCAAAAAAGACTACAAACAATAAATAATTAAGAGGGTAAGGAGTGGGTAGAGGAATAAAAATGACATTATTTCAAAGATATTTCAATTAGATATCATTTTTATAATTAAAAAATGCACTTATTACCCAAATTTCCAAATAAAATCATAGGTTCGTTTTTAGCACCCGGTAAACAGTAACATTTTTGAAAAAACGCAAATAAAGATTATACTTATAATACAAATTGGCAACTTTTATGCACTATTCCAAAACAGTTTTCGAAGCTTCGATTTTTCGCATCACTCTGTCTCTAAATGTATACACACAACTAGACTAGATTATGGTTCATGTATTACAAACCAGTATTCTACATATTCGAATAATTTTTTAACATAAAGAGATACTATAAATAATAGTATATAATGTTTTATAATCAAATAAAACCCAATAGAACCAATTATTATCGAATATTATAAAAATAACCAGAACCTCACAACCATAGGGAGTGTAAAAGGAGGCATAACAAGGCTCAGAGTGATAAACAGAATGACGCAAGATGCTGAGAAGATCGGTGCTCTCAACTGAAAATCTCAAACATAGAATATACTCAATATAGCACAGGAATGACATTTAAGTTCGATTCAAACACATCAGTCACGTCTCGTCACAGTCCCGGCGCCGAACCGCACAATCCGTCATACAAAATATTCTTTAATAGAAATATGCCGCTGGCATTCACATTCATCAGTTGACGAACAGTTTCCCAGCAGTCAGATAATGAATAGTTCTTTGACCAGAAGGGGGCGGTTCGGCGCCGGGACTGTGAAGGGACTGATGTGTTTGAATCGACCTGTAGGGAAGAAGCCACATTAGTGCCTATTTTTTTCTGGAATTGTAAATTTGACTTAACGTAAGCCGTAAATCGTGATTAAACAACATATGTTGCATTGCCTGCTATATTAAAGTGGTGAATAAATTATTTATTTATTTTTTTGTATTTGTTTTCTCATTTTTACTAATTTATTAGGCTTTACATCGCCATATATCTTTAGTTGACATGTTTTTATATAACCTATAAAATAAACATACTTGTAAAAGATTCTTTTTTTTTTTAGAAATTACTTCTCGACACCCTCAGAACTTTAACGCGATCCCCAGGGAGTCGCAACCCACACTTTGGGAACCATTGGCTTATAGGATAGAAGCTAAAAATCCACAACTTGATAACTCGATTATCGGAGAAAAATATATTGTTACTGATATTGATGCAGATATAAATAGAATGTTTGAAAATATTTCATCTTTAATTTAAAGATAAATTGAATAATCTGATTTTAAATTTAAATAAATTTTTAACATTAAACTATCCCTAGATAAATTATTTAATGGATGAAATTAGTTTTTTATGTATTAATACAAAATAATATGTTTTTAAAGAAAAAATAGAAAATAAGGTTAATATGCTCGGAAAAACGTTACAGTGAAATATTAAAAAAATATATATATTTTTCGAAATTTATCGATATTTAACATTGTTCCTCAGATTTATTTTGTTAAAAAAAATTAATAATCGGACTTTAAAATATCTCATTTTGATAGAAAACTTAATTCTCTACAAAAAACCGAAAATTTGACAAATTTACCTCGATCTCAAAAACGCAAGGCTCTATTTGCACTATTAGCACTCATCGATTTTATAATTTTTAAATGTCACTTGACTATATGAAACTACAAAAATCCTTGAACTCGTTTTACCCATGTTTCTTTTGACATAGTCAATAGTCTCACAATTCTTTTTAATTTTTTATTGAATGATACGATACAATTAACATTTTTATTTTATCGTGTTTTTATTAATAATCTATTTGATTACATAATATTCGCATTAATAAAATTTGTAATCAATAAAGGTAAAGTTTGTGTATCTAGTATATTAATATATTTTCGCAGATTAGATGTAAAATACTTGACAAGTTAATTCTTAAAAATAAAAATAAATATATCAATAAACATAGAATTTACTTTCTTGTAAATTTAGTGAAAAAAAAAACAATATGTGAAGCGTGAAGGAAGATCATAATAGTAAATAATTTTCTAAATTTGAAATTGATATGAAGACTTTAATCTTTGCAACTTTTGGTTATTATACGACCTTTTATTTTCGTCTGCCTGACTAACAGTGCAGAATTCGTTCTTCGTACTCTCCGCGATAGTTTCCGAGGTGCTTTAAAATGCCCTCTCGTCGCCGAGTCTACGCCGAACGCCTATCTGCTAAACCAGATCCTCCTCTTTCATACAGTGATCCGAAAGCGGAATGGCCGTTGTAAGGCCGACATCACTTCCGAAACACTACCGTCATTCCTCCACAAACTATCAGCAAGGAGGCTCCCTGTCTCATTCCAGGTAGTGCGTGAACGACACTCATCGCTCCTAGTACGGCATCACTCCCAGACGAGCATTTCTTCCTTCCCCACAGTCTGACTTTTACACAGTCTAACTCACACAGTCTGACTCACTTTTCTACCTTTAACTTGCAGTATCGCTTCCTCTTACCTTTGCCGTTGGTCCAGCTGTCTTTCTTCCTCTTCTTTTTTCTTGACCACTTCACGGATATAGTTGTGTACACTAACTTGCACTATAACCTGCTTTATTTTTGATCATTCGCGCATTCATTTCTCTCACTGTAACAAAATCAATACCTGTCTCTCTTTCCATTCTGTTCCTTTCTACTTTCAGTAGTGTCCGAGTGTGCACAGTATAGGCATTCATGTGTGTTAGCTTTTCCGAATCTAGAGAGGTAGGACATAAATTCTAGACCGTGTCCTGTGAGCAACAGCGTTAGGAAATAATCCAGTTGCCTGTGGCCACAGTCCATCCGATCTATTATGTTCGAGATCAGCATCTTTGTGTACTATGCCACATCCTCCATGTTGTTCCATTCTTCTTGCTATCTTTCAGTTAATCTTTTCCTTTCCTGTCTTCTCTCGGCCATTGTAAGGTTTAGGTCTCTTCTCTCATAGAGATCTTTTCTTTACACTGTCAAAACATGCAACGAAACACATCCAGTGATGGTCCACAAGGCTTTCGCAGACACATTCCTGTGGGCGCATGCTACTCACAACAGACTACTCCTTATATTCGTGTCATGAGCCTCCTATAGACCATTAGCTCTAACGCCTCACTCCAGACTGGTGCCGCGTAGAGGACGATCGACTGCACAACACCGCGTAAGACCATCCTTTTTTCGGATTTGAGTCCCCCAATGTTGGGCATCACCCTCCCCAACGCAGCCGCACTATTCGCAGCCTTTTTCCTTTCTGGTGTAGCATCACTTCTAGTTACTTTACGTGTTTCTTGGGTGTTAGACATACCCCCCCTCCCCACATTTTACTTTCACACTTTGCCTGTTCCTATTCCCCTTCAGAATGATGGCTTCGCTTTTCTCTGACGCAAGTTTCAGTCCATGCTGCGTCAACCATTTCTTTATTCAAAAAGAGGTTAATCTTTGTAAATGGGTATATTTATTTAAAAAACCCTTAAAAGGGCCACATCAATAAAACAAACGTTTTCGGACCACACAGTCCATCATCAGGTTATTAAAATCGAAAATGCTAGGTCACAATGCCTGAGCCACCAAAATATTAGGGTAAAAACCCTTTAAATTACATTTAGTTATGAAATATTGTACATTGTGTTATAAAATAACTGTGATGTTCAGTATTAAATTAAATTTGACTGTAGGTAACACATGGTTCAATTGGGTTCCAGAGCCAGAACAAAGTTCCACGTTGTTCTTCGAGTGCAGAGGTTTCCTCTCACCGGCTCTGGAACCCAATTGAACCATGTGTTACCTACAGTCAAATTTAATTTAATACTGAACATCACAGTTATTTTATAACACAATGTACAATATTTCATAACTAAATGTAATTTAAAGGGTTTTTACCCTAATATTTTGGTGGCTCAGGCATTGTGACCTAGCATTTTCGATTTTAATAACCTGATGATGGACTGTGTGGTCCGAAAACGTATTTAAGGGTTTTTTAAATAAATATACCCATTTACAAAGATTAACCTCTTTTTGTCATACGTGGTATACAGCCAGCTACAGGAATTTTTCCTTGTAGATTTCTTTATTCATCCCGGGCCACTACCAGTACAGCGAGGTCATCCGAGAATGCGAAGGAGGATGTACCCTCACCGTATTTACAGTTCATAACCCGTCATATGCCAGGTTCCATAGCGTCAGGCCAAAGAGAGATCCCTGGTGCCCTTCTCCACCATAATCCTTCTCTCGGGCAGATACTCCACCACATTTATCAGGTAACCACGACATTCTCTTTCCTCCATTGCCTTCATTACCTCGTTCCACTGCAGTATATTGAATGCATTCCTAACGTCAAACAACATCAGTCTATTATTCCAGCAGTGCATTCATGA